AGTTATTTAAGAGCATCAAAACATAATGATCAAAGTTCTCATGATTGTGATATAGTTTTCCTGTGCTCACCTTCAGTTCAAATCCCACTTGCCCCCAGAAGTGAGTTAGCACGCTTAGGGATTGGTGACATCCTGGCAATGTCACTGGGTTAGTAATTCAGTATACCCAAGCTAATATTCTGGCTACATGAGTTCAAGTCCTACGTCATAGACGGAGGAACTTGGATTCAATAAAAATCTGGAATTAAAAGCTAGTCGAACGATAGCCATTGCCAATTTAGTTCCTTAACAAACTTTTTTAGGGAGGGAAATCTGTCTTCCTTACTTGGTCTGACCTCCATGTGACACCAGACCAATGGCAATGTCATTGCCTCTTAACTGCCCTCTGAAGTTGCCTAGCAAGCTACTCAGTTGATGGAAAGATGCTGGCCTAGCCGGTGAAGCCCCCATCCCATGAGGTAATATAAATATCAAAACAGAGCTGATTACCATGCGTTTGTTGCACAATGTACTGTGAAGGAATGCATGGAATTAATTCTTGGCTCTTTACGATATCTCGGTTCATGTTCTTGTAGCTTCAGAATTTTCTGGATTGCTTAATTAAATTACAATTTTACAATTCATTTTGTGATTTGATTGTTTGTACTGCATTTGAATTGAACTGAAAGTGAAAAAACAGTGCTAACGTGATTTTTTTAAAGTCTCACTATTCTTTCTCTGGAATGTTTGGTTATTAGAATATAGAACAGTACAGCACAGGAATGGGTCCTTCAGCCCATCATGTTGTGCCAAACATGATGCCAAATGAAACTAATCCTTTCTGCCTGTCCTTGATCAAATCCCTCCAATTCTTGCATATTCATATGCTTATCCAGAAGTCCCTTAAATACCTTTCATTATTGAACGATGTCCCATTCAAAATGCAACGTCACTTCAAAGTAGTGAGTGATTATGGAGAACCTTTTTAATGGGGGGGAAATGAGAGAAAGATAGATATATGAAATAACAATAGATTTATTTGGGAATATTATGGTTTTAAAGTCAACTGTGACTCAAATCAATACATTATAAGAGACAATTAAGCATTACAGTAGATATGCAGTCATAGCACCAAGCCAATTTAATAGCTGTCCTTTTATAACCATTTTATTTTTACAAATACACTCCTTTAACCTCTTCAGAGACTGCAGTAACGCAAGCTCAAAGCCTTGCAATTCCTCTCTTAGTCTGCTGTGTAATATGAATTACTGAAATCAAATATTATAGCCAATAGTCATGTTACAAAGTTTCAAGTAGCATTTCATGGAACACACGTTGACAATTATCAATACGTTGTTTATTTATGTAGAAAATATTAAACAATAAAAGACTAGTACACAGCATAGTTTCACAACTATTTTTGTGGCACTTTAGTGCAAATTGTACCTCTTTTTTATTTCCCCTGATTAATTATATTTTTTATTGTTGGGGACTTGTATCAAGCATGCATGCTAAGTTTGATTAGTAACTCGCATTATTATGATTCCAAACATGTATCTTAAAGAGACATTTTTGATATTTTCTAAAAACTGCATCTATGTTTAATTTGGTTAGCCTTTGGCTTTGGTTTACATGTGATCTTAAACAAAAGAACAGCATGGATGTAAGAAAGCTATCATATAATTAGCAAGAAATTTCTGAAGAGTTATTCTAAATACAATGAAATATGTTCATATGCTCTTTGAGATCAAATGCTTGAATTCATGATCACCTATTCCTCCAATAGTGATTGTAACAAAATAAAATTTTAATGTACTGAAAACATGACTAAAATAAATTAGCTGGGAGAAATTCAAGCAGACACAGAACTTAATTTTTCTTCCACGTATACCAGTACGGTCAACAGAAAGTAAATAATATTCAGTATCTACTTTTTAAAAACAGCTTATCAAAGCTACTTTACTTAAAATATCTTTATCATTGACAATCCTGTTTGAGTTAAATCTTGAGCTCCCTTGATAATGATGGAGGAATGAAAATAAGAACTCCTGTATAAGTTTCAGTGTAAAGATACAGTTACAACTATATTCCAAAAGGTAAGGTCACTTCTTTAAATTAAAATTTAATACAGTATCTGAGGCAATTCTGCTTCCTGCAGTTTTCAGTTTTTAATACACACGTCCTATTAAATGTACTTTTTTTGAAATCTACTAGTCTAAAACATACTGTTGGTGTAATATTGGCCAAGTACTTAGAAGCAACACCAAAAGAAATATAGTAATAGCATTCCTCCATCTGCTATTTTAGTGGTGAGCATTAACCTATGTAAAATAAGTAGAATTTCAGCTCTATTAAAATAACTGAGAATTGCCATGCAAAATTTGTATAATCTTTATCTACCTGCTGAGCTGAGAGTTGTACAGATGCTGAGTATGTTTTACACTTGAGCACCATAATAAAAGACATTTACAGATCAAACCTGAATTTCTTTTACTGATTTGACAGGATGACAATACCCTGCAATCCTGGCAAGAGCACCTAATAAGAGATGATCATTATAATAAAGGCACCTTTTGTTTTTCATAAATGAGAGCTGTGAACAATTAGCTGCTATCATGCTCAATCTGTTTTAGTGTAGATTTTTTCACAAGTTAAATCAGTATTACATAAAACTTTGTAGTTAAATAATAATTAGTCATCAGTTCATCTTAACATACTGTAAAATAAGGTTAGAACAAGAAAACCGTTCCTTAAAGACAGAGTGCCTTTTTTTTCTTCAAAAAGAGGGAAATTTCTGTTGATCAAACTTCAGGTGTAGTCTACAATTTTTGATGTATTTCTCTATTAACTCAGTGCTACATGTTTTTCCAAACAACCTGTTCAGAATTGCTATTATAAACCTTTGGGGCAGATCGGGACACTACCATTTCACCAAAAGCGCTCCATTTAGTTCAGTGCTAACAAGCTCCACATAGTTGGGGCTGGGACAGTTATATAGAATCCCGACAGCGTGAAAGCAGGCCATTCGATCCATTGCATCTCTCTGAACAGTATCCAACCCCTCCGCCCTAAGTTATAGGGGTGTTACAATTGAATTGGTTCCTGCTCCTGACAGCTACATCTTGAGATCTGCATTGGCTGTTTGAGATGAGAACAGATTAAGATTTTGCTTTCATACTTTGTAGTTCTAACCTGTCTACATTTCCTAATTTGGTGACAAGTAAAGCATTCCCTAGCAAGAGGGATGAACTGCTTTTAAAAATTTATTTGGGCATTTGTATTCTTAGAAAAGTGATTGTTGTTCCAGAATGGGATTAACGGTTAAATCTGAAAACTGAATGAAAATTCTGAATTCGAAAACTTCAGAAATTGCTCTGCACTTCTAATCTTACAAAGAAGTATATTGGTATATATTGGAAATACCTTTCGTATTACAATTCAGGGTTTACTGAATCAATACCTATATTATACCAGTGTAAAGGAATGAGGTCAGAACGATGACATGACCTGCACAATGCGTGTTTTGTGCCAAACTTCATTTTCAAACAGAATATTAAGTTATCTCCATTGCAAAGCCTTGATACAATCTCTTGTTGCAAACTATGAAGACTTTGTTTTATTGTTCTGTCTTTGATTATTTCTTGCAGTCTTGCCTGCAATAGACAATGTCAGAAGGAAAACGGCCTTTTTAAGCATTTTACAGTAGAGTAATACAGTTGGTAGAGCTTACAAGTTTTATGCCAGTGTCAATACAACCATTGTTATCAGTAGTAGGCAGCAACAATAGCACCTTTATTATTTCAGAACAGTTCAGTTTGTTTCAGAGATAGTAGGAACTGCAGATGCTGGACAATCTGAGAGAACAAGGTGTAGAGCTGGATGAACACAGCAGGTCAAGCAGCCTTCTTCAGAAAAATGAAGGGTCTAGGCCCAAAACGTCAGCTTTCCTGCTCCTCTGAAGCTGCTTGACCTGCTGTGTTCATCCAGCTCTACACCTTTGTTATCTCAGTTCAGTTTGTGTTTGCTTTTGTTTAAAAACTTTGTAAGTTAATTTATGTAAACGGAAAGCACTGTTATTTATATTGAGAAGTGTCATTGCACTGCTATGGTGGCAGTTCAGCTTGCTCATCACAATTGTTCAATTTAACATTAATCCACAAAATGGTGACAACGTCATGTCCCTCCTCTTTAAACCTTGCACACAAATGTCCGATCACTTATAGAATAAGCAATGGTGGCTGATGGGGTAATAATTGATAACTAACACAATTTTAGTAGTTAAATGCATATGTACAAAAAATATCAAAATAAATAGGACAGTGCATAAATATTTTACAACGTAATAAAATATATCTTTTTTTTATATACATCTTTTTGCTAAGAGAGGTAGCTTTTCCACTCAGGCCAGTGTTCACTACAGACTCTGATTGATTGCTTTGGCGTTCTCCCTACAACTATTCTTTTAACTGGAGGAATTAAGTACGTTTGGGAATAAGAATTTCTAAAGGCAAACAGTGAGCCAGGCCCAGGACAGCATCAGGGTTAACGTTAGTCCCTAGTTTCTGACGCCAGAGTTATGATGACATAACAAGAAATGGAGGTAATAATCAGAAACAAAATATATTCTGACACCCACTCTTGGTGCCCAAAGTCAAAACAAATCACATTGCATTTGCCAATCTGAGAGGGCTGTAGTTCACATAGCAGAAGTGTCAAGGCAGTTCCATCACCATTTTTTTCATCTCTCACTCCTGTCACTGGATAAGGAGACAAGTATGAATCTGATTTTGCCCACAAAAGGAGCAAAAGAAAGTTGGTAGGATTAGATGAATGGAGTTAGAAGGCTCACAAAACCAGCATGATTGGATTTTATAGGGTGGAGTGATGTTTCTATGGTTTACAATAATGTCCTCCATCTTTTTTTTCTCCCCCATCGACAGTTGACTTTTTCCCCCCCTTGGGGTTGATAGTTGTGACAAAAGTCAGAACTGTTTTGAACATGGCTGGCAAAATAAAATAAACTTGGCTTCCTTATGTAATGTACTTACTGCAATAAGAAACAGTGATTGATACAGCACGGTGTACTGTGCTCCAACACATTTTCTCCCTTTCGAACTGCCAACTGCTGGAGCAGTAAGACCGTAACTCCTACAGAGCCAACTTCTTTGCAGTTAGCAAATGTTCAAGTGATCTGTGTCACCACCTGTTTCATTTACAGTACTTATTTCTGTGATTTGAAGTGGCACTCGGACCAGCAAACTGAACTGCATGCACTTTAAGTGGTAACAAACCCTGCTCCCAGCAAAGTGAAAACTGTTACGCAAGTAGCAATATCACTGGGACATCATCATACGTTGTAGCTGCCCTGTGCTAAGCAGAGACACCGATAACATATCTCGTCATTTAAGACAGAAATGACAGGGACTGAATTGATACTTTAAGACCAGCACCAGTAACGTACCCTTGTCATGCAGCATGTTGCCATTGTCAAACCATAGTTTATTTTCCTTACTTTCAGTATTTTTACCTGTTTGAACATTATAATAAATAACAAGCTCTGGAAATTCAAACTCAAAAAACTCTTTAAACACCATTATTGCCTTAAGGTCACTCCTTCAAAAAGACAACTTCCAATTGGTGATATGACACTGTCACTGATGCGGTATGTCCTATCAAGCCAACAGTTTCCAGAATTAACAGGGAGAGGGAGTGATGTTTAGGAATGGGTGACTGGGATTGGAAAAATGAATGTGCCCAGGCAGCCATTGCAAAACATTAAACATGAACTTTGGTTTCTAAAAACAATGCTTTAGCACGCTTCCCTTCCTATCCTACACTGGGGGGTCATATAAGCAATTTAGGCCATTCATTTGATGTCAAAACTGTCTGACCTGGACTTGAACATTAAGTTTAAACCAGCAAGCTAATAATGTGTGTTCCAAATAATTAAGTGATAAAATAATCATTGCACTCTTACAGCTGCCATTGATAAGACAATGAACATTAATTCCTAAAGATTGCTGGCATTTGGACTGGTTCATTATCTCCATAGTGATAAATTGCCTGCAGTCAGGTCCCATTCCACATGGTAGTTTAAAATTTTTCCTTGAACTTCTGCAAATGTCGTGTCACTCCTGCATCTTTACTGTACTTGCATCAGAAGACCAGTACTTGTTTGAGGAACACATTTTCCACAGTAGCCACCGCATCTTCCATAAACCTTTGTGCCATCCTTTAAATAGGAAAAAAGAATTGCATTTGTATCGTACCTTTCACAGAAGTACAGAAACGAGGAGCAGAAATAGGCCACTCTGCCCCTCAAGCCTGCTTTGCAATTCAATAGAATCATGCCTGATTCTAAATCACCAAGCCATAGTCTTACATTCCTCCCCTTCCCTCAACATATTCAGGGACTCCCGTGCTACAGGACTCTAACAGATTTACGACATTTTGTTTGAAGAAATTTTTTTCCTCATTTCAGTCCTAAATGATTTTCCCATATCCTGAGGCTGTGATGCCTGGTTCCAGACTCCCCAACCAGGGGAATCATCCAGCTTGTCCAGCCCCTTTTGGATGTTATCAACCACTTCAATCAGATGCGCACTCTCTCTCTCATCTTTTGAAATTCTGCTTCAACGTGGCCCGTATTCACTAATAGGACAATCCTGCCATCCCTGGTATCAGCCAAGTGAAACACATTTATACTCTGGCTACGGCAAGTATATCCTTTCTCTTAACTGCACAAAATACTTCCAGGTGTGGTCTTGCCCAAGGTGCTGCATAACTGCAGTCACATTTCTGTGAATTCAGCCATTAAAGATGTGCAGGTTAAGCGGATTGGCCATGTGAAATTGCCCTGTAGTGTCCAGGGGTGTGTAGGCCAGGTGGGTTAGCCATGGTAATACAGGGCTATAGGGCGAGGATTTAGGGCAGATTCTAGGTGGGATGCTGTTCAGAAGGTTGGTGAAGACTCTTATGGGCTGAATAGCCTCTTTCCACACTGTAGGGATTCTATGATTTAAAGGACTGAAAGCATTGAACTGAGTCTTTCATGACCAGTTCCTGTGTATTAATTGCAGCCAGAGTCTTAAGGCCAATATAACTAGCTTCATTCAGTACTCTAAGTCAGCTGGTGTAAAATAAGCAGGATTTAGTCATTTCATTATTATCGGACTCCTTTGAAAACACCACAGTATAAAATAACAACAATTTTAACATGTAATGAATGCATTGACTGTAGCTGAACAAAATACAGGAAGTGCAGCAATTTCTGGCCTCGACTCTTACCTGTGATCTGCGTACACTGACTGTAGCGTAATTTCCCTGTGCAATCCATTTTGATGCTTCCGATATTTTCAGGCCAGTACCACTTAGGTTAATGCTAAATTGTCCCTGAAAAGCAGTTTGTCAAATGTCAATAACATAAAAGTATTGAAGTTCAATTAGACTTTAAGTACTCAGCTGCGAAATGAATGCAATAATAAAGCTGTTGTTTAAAAGTCACCCAACAATTTTAACATTCCTCAAAGACATGTTAGTCAGAATACAAGGTAAAGTCATCATTGACCACTGACCATGGTCCCTACCAGACCACAGGGCTGCGCGCTCATATAAGGAGAGAGCTAATCTTGTGGTGGTTTAATGTAAGGGTCACCTTGTCTCAGGCGAGGGTACAGGTTGAGAAGGAGACTCCTGAACAGTAACTTCAGCCAGTGCCAGAATTTTTGGCATCATTCTGCATTATAAACCAGCCGTCTAGCCAACTGAGCTAAACAACACCACCACCCGCAACCACGCCCCCACCCACCCCACCCCAGTCAGAGGTGTTAAGAATAATGCTAACTGAGGTTGGTTGGCTCGCCAAGCTGGTTTGTTATTCCACAGACGTTTCGTTACCATGCTGGGTAACACCCTCAGTGCAGCCACCGATGAAGCGTCGGTGTGTTTTCCCGCCTGGTTTTTAAACTCTGGGGTCCGTTGAGATGGATTGCCTCACTTCCAGTTTTCCTTCATAGTGGAATGTATATGGGGTCGAGTTCAATATGTTTATTAATAGCATGCTTCGTGGAGTGCCATGCTTCCAGGAATTCTCGTGCTTGTCTCTGCCTAGCCTGTCCCAGGATCTTGGTGTTGTCCCAATTGAAATGGTGGTTCTCCTTGTCCATGTGGATTGAGATGAGTGAGTATTGGTCGTGTCTTTTTGTAGCCAGTTGGTATTCATGTACTCTTGTTGTTAGTTTCCTTCCTGTTTGTCCGATGTAGTGTTTCTCACAGTCACTGCAGGGGATCTTGTAGATGACACAGGTCCTGTCCATGGCAAGGAGTGAGTCTTTAGTTCGGGTGAGAAGGTGTCGTAGGGTTGATGTGGGTTTGTGTGCCACTCTGATGCCCAGCGGTCGTGGGAGTCTTGAGGTGAGTTCCGACGTGTTCCTGATGTAGGGTAGTGTGATGAGTGTATCGGGGCGTGTAGTATCTTTCTGATATTGTTTGTGTAGGCATCTTCTGACCCAGTTTTTTGGATATCCGTTATCCTTGAAAACGTGGAAGAGGTATTCTTCTTCTTCTTCTTGGCGTAGTTCCGTGTTGCTGCAGTGTGTTGTTGCCCTTTTAAATAGTGTTCGCACACAGCTTTGTTTGTGTGTGCTGGGATGGTTACTATTGAAGTTCAATACCTGGTCTGTGTGTGTGGCTTTTTGGGGTACTTTCGTTTGCAGTTCCCCATTTGTCTTGCGCTCTACCATGACGTCCAGGAATGGGAGCTGTTTGTTCTTCTTCTCCTCTCTGGTAAATCTGATTCCGGTGAGGGTGTTGTTTATAAGTTTGTGTGTCTCCTCTAATTTGGTCCGTTTAATGATGACAAAGGTGTCGTCCATGTAGCGTATCCGTAGTTTTGGTTGGATTTGCGGGAAGGCCGTCCTTTCTAGTCTTCGCATCACTGCTTCTGCTATGAGTCCGGAGATGGGTGATCCCATGGGTGTCCCATTGATTCGCTCGTACGTTTGGCCGTTGAAAGTGAAATGGGTGGTGAGGCATAGGTCCAATAGTTTGAGCATGTTGTCCTTGGAGATGGTTTCACTGGGGTATTGCTCTTGTTCCAGAATTGTTGTCATCGTTTCCTTTGCTAGTGGTATGTCTATTGATATAAATAGGGCAGTGGCATCAAACAATATCATGGTCTCTTCATCATCTATCCTTATGTCTTTGGAGTTGAGGAATTCTTGGGCTGAGTGGCTGAATGACAACCCTACTGGAACAAGAGCAATCTGAAGAAGGGTCCTGACCCAAACGTCAACTTTCCTGTTCCTCTGATGCTGCCTGGCCTGCTGTGTTCCTGCAGCTCCACACTGTGTTATCATATTGTGCTAGATATTCAAAAGGATCATCTAAAATGGCCCATTTACCCCTTTCAATGTTTTGTAAATGTCTACCAATTCCCTTTTTAAAGGCTGTTGTCCACTTTCAACAGAATGTATGACCAGGTCCAAAAAAAGAGGAAATATATTAGAATATAAAGTGGGTATTGTCCTGGAAGCTCTATTGTTACTACACTTCTGGGGTCGGTGATGGCCTAGTGGTATTATGGCTAGGCGGCTAATACAGAAACTCACCTAATGTCTTGGGGACCCAGGTTCGAATCCCACCACAGTAGATGGTGGAATTTGAATTCATTTAAAAAAAAGTCTAGAATTGGGAAGCTACTGATAACCACAAAATCATTTCCAGTTGTCAGAAAAACCCATCTGGTTCACAGATTTCCTTCAGGGAAATCTGCCGCCCTCATCTGGTCTGGCCTATATGTGATTCCAGACTCTCAGCAATGTGGTTGACTCTCAATTTCCCTCTGAAATGGCCTAACAAGCCATTCAGTTGTACCAATCGCTACAAAGTCTCAAAGAAATCAAACCGGACAGATCACCTGGCATCGAGATAGGCACTGGAAAAGCCCTGTCGACCCTGCAAAGTCCCCTTAATATTTGGGACTTAGCTCTCCCAATTTTGGCACTGTCTCACAGACTAGTTAAGCAACAGTCTGATATAGTCATACTCACGGAATCATGCCTTACAGACAATGTCCCAGACACCACCATCACCATCCCTGGATATGTCCTGTTTCACGGGCAGGGCAGACCCAGCAGTGGTGGAGACTCAGTAGTATATAGTCGGGAGGGAGTTGTTCCGGGAGTCCTCAACATTGACTCTGGACCCCATGAAGTCTCATGGCTTCAGGTTAAACATGGGCAAGGAAACCTTGTGCTGGTTACCATATACCATTGGTGGTACTCCATGTTGACAACACTTGGAGGAAGCACTGAGGATGACAAGGACACAAAATGTACTCTGGGTGGGGGATTTCAATGTCCACCACCAAGACTGGCTCGGCAGCAGTACTACTGATCGAGCTGGTCGGGTCCTAAAGGACATTGCTGCTAGACTGGGTCTGCAGCAGGTGGTGAGGGAACCGACAAGAGGGAAAAGTATACTTGACCTCATCCTTACTAATCTGCCAGCTGCAGTTACATCTGTCCATGACAGTATCAGTAAGAGTGACCATCTCACTGTCCTTGTGGAGACGAAGTCCCGCTTTCACATTGAGAATAACTTCCATCGTGTTGTGTGGCACTATCACCGTGCTAAATGGACCAGACTTCACACAGATCTAGCAACTCAAGACTGGGCATCCATGAGGCGCTGTGGGCCATCAACAGCAGCAGAATTGTACTCCAGCACAATCTGTAACCTCATGGCCCGGCATGTCCCCCACTTAACCATTACCATCAAGCCAGGGGATCAACCCTGATTCAACGGAGAGTGCAGGAGGGCATGCCAGGAGCAGCACCAGGCATACCTGAAGATAAAACGTCAACCTGGTGAAGCCACCAAACAGGACTACTTGTATGCCAAACTGCATAAACAGCAAGTGATGGACAGAGCTAAGCGATCTCGCAACCAACTGATCAGGTCTAAGTTCTACAGTCCTGCTCCATCCAGCCTTTAATAATGGTGGATTATTAAACAACTCACTGGAGGAGGTGGCTCCACAAATATTCCCAACCCTAATGACAGATGAGCCCAGCACATCAGTGCAAAAGATAAGACTGTAGCTTTCACAGCAATCTTCAGCCAGAAGTGCTGAGTAGATGATCCATCTCAGCCGCCTCCAGTGGTCCCCAACATTACAGTTACCAGTCTTCAGCTAATTCAATTCACTCCACGTGATATCGAGAAACGGTTGGGGACACTGGATACTGCAAAGGCTACGGGCCCTGACAACATTCTGGCAATAGTACTGAAGACTTGTGCTCCAGAACTTGTCACTCCCCTAGCCAAGCTGTTCCAGTACAGTTACAACACTGGTATCTACCTGACAACATGGAAAATTGCCCAAGTATGTCCTGTACACACAAAGCAGGACAAATCCAACCCAATCAATTACCACCTCATCAGTCTCCTCTCGATCATCAGTAAAGGGATGGAAGGTGTCATCAACAGTGCTACCAAGCAGCACCTGCTCAGCAATAACCTGCTCAGTGATGCCCAGTTTGTGTTCCGCCAGGACCACTCAGCTCCTGACCTCATTACAGCCTTGGTTCAAACATGGACAAAAGAGCTGAATTCCAGAGGAGAGGTGAGAGTGACAGCCCTTGATATCAAGGCTGCATTCGACCGAGTGTGGCATCAAGGAGCTCTAGCAAAACTGGAATCAACGAATATCCTGGGGCAAACTCTCCCGTGGTTGGAGTCATACATGACACATAGGAAGATGGTCATGATTATTGGAGGTCAATCATCTCAGCTCCAGGACTTCTCTGCAGGAGTTCCTCAGGGTAGTGTCCTAGGCCCAACCACCTTCAGCTGCTTCATCAATAACCTTCCCTCCATCATAAGGTCAGAAGTGGGAATGCTCGCAGATTGTGCAAACAACGTTCAGCACCATACGCAACTCCTCAGATACTGAAGCAGTCCATGTTCAAATGCAACAAGATCTGGACAATATCCAGTCTTGGGCTGACAAGTGGCAAATAACATTCACGCCACACAAATGCCAGGCTATGACCATCGCCAACAAAAGACAATCTAACCTCCGCCCCTTGGCATTCAATGACATTTCCATCACTGAATCCCCTACTATCAACATCCTGGGAATTGTCATTGACCAGAAACTCAACTGGACTCACCGCATAAACACAGTTGCTACATGAGCAGAACAGAAGCTAGGAATACTGCGGTTACTAACTCACCTCCTGACTTCTCAAAGACTGTCCGCCATCAACAAGGCACAAGTCAGGAGTGTGATGAATACTTCCCACTTGCCTGGATGAATGCAACCCCACCAACACTCAAGAAGCTTCGCACCACATCCACAAGCATCCACTCCCTTCATCACTGGTGCTCAGTAGCAGCAGTGTGTACTATCTACAAGATGCATTTCAGAAATTCACCAAAGATCCTGAGACAGTACCTTCCAAACCCATGACCACTTCCATCTAGAAGGACAAGGGCAGCAGACATATGGGAACACTACCACCTCCAAGTTAGTCACCATCCTGACTTGGAAATATATCGCTGTTCCTTCACTGTCGTGGGTCATAATCCTGGAATTCCCTCCCTAATAGCATTGTGGGTCAACCCACAGCAGGAGGACTGCAGCTGTTCAAAAAGGCAGCTCACCACCACCTTCTCGAGGGCAATTAGGGACAGACAATAAATGCTGGCCAGCCAGCGACACCCACATCCCACAAATTAATTTTTTAAAAAAACTTCTCTGCTTCTTTTGATCATACTCTTATGTTCCAGTGGTACTGGATTGCAATAGGGTATTATATGCATATCAAACTGACATTTAGTTGTGAATTTTTTAAAACATTTGGGTCTGCTTTAAACTTCTAAAAATTTTGCCTTTCAAAGGAGTATAGAAACTGCTTACTGTAGGTTTACTCCAACAATGCAAAGCAGGTCTAAGTTGGAGCCAGATCATTATCATCAGCAATCTGTAAAAATATGCATTCTTAGGATTTCACATTTCTACTGAGTTTCTGGAATTCAAGGTCGAGTCTAAGATTCAGGGAGAACGTTTTACTGGAATGACCAAGGAGATAGCTCTGATAACATTTTGTCAGAGACCTTGTATCCCTACTTATCATCAAATCACCAGAAATCACTCAACTAGCACAGTCGAGGGATATATCAACTTGCTAGGAATGTGACAGATGTAATCAGAAATAACTCATTGTTCACCTCTTGAGACCTCCTCTTGAGCCAACATCTATTGCAACTGAACATAAAGAATAAAGTCTGTGAAATGGCATTGCGCTTGCAGAAAAGGAAGAGAAATTGTTAGATCTTTTTCATCTTATGGACAAACACTGTGATCCACCTGTTTTCTTTGAAGTGGAAGACCACGCTATCTAAAATCAAATGATCGGAAATGAGACAGAAATCTGTCCATCTTCATTTTGGACCAGCTCAAAACTGACTCATAACAAATCCTGTGAACAAAAAAAAAGTTACGCTGAGGGTACCACTTGCTAGGTCAGCGTTTATTGTCCATATCCCTAATTGGCCAGGGGGCAGTTAAGAGTCAATCACACTGCTGTGGGTCTGGAGTCAAATGTAGGCCAGACCAGGTAAGGATGGTAGATTTCCTTCCCTCAAGGGTAGTGAGCCAGATGGATTTTTCAGCAACGCATTCACGATCGTAATTACGCCGTTAATACCAGATTTTTTTAAATTTTAAATTCCAACATCTGCCACAGTGGGGTTCAAACACGGGTCCCCAGAACATTACTCAGTTTCTGGATTAACAGTCCAGCAATGAAATCACAAGGCCATCGCCTCCCCTTTCTGATGCTATGTTTGTTCTACCGATTTGAATTAGTCCTAACAACTTTGGTTCCCTCTCAGGTTCTACTTTTAAAACGTGGGATCAGATGTGGCCAAAATTTTTCTGCAGACATCATCAGATATCTGGCGTTCAGTCAGCCTGCTGCTGATTGCAATGGAAACCACTATCTATTTGTAGGTGAGCAGGGTTTGAAAGAGTGGATCTCACAATGAGGTTAACCTTTTTGTTGGAGCAGGCAGGCATGAGTAATGTTCTTGACTTAGGACCATTGAGCATGCTGTGAATTATGTGAATGTACCTCCGAGCAATTTTTAAAAAAAACCCACAAAGAAAGCAAGTCAAACAATGGATGTGGTGTTAAGCCGGGGGCTTTACAACAGACAGGATGGAGTCAGAAAACTCTACCTGTGCAGGGGCTGGGGGTGCAGTTATATGCACAGAATAAAATCTCTACATCAGTGGAGGAAATTTGTAATAAGCACAATATAAATCAGTTCAACATCACTTGTCTCTTGTTTCTACTGCATATACAGCAGAACAAAAAAGCTCATTCATATTTTTCCATCATTACTTCTGTTTAAGGTGGAAGGGCAGTAAAATGAACCTAAAGTCTTGTTTCTAATGTATGATAGGCAACCCATTTGATTAGATTTTATTTCACAAACCAATAATCCAGTGAGGAATTATTCTTAAAATATTACATTGAGCAATAGAACAATTACGCAGTTCTTGTTCTTTATATTGCCACGGTACATTCACATGCAGTTTGAAAATATACTACCTTTTTCCCATAACAAATATGAATAGAAAGGTATAAAACATAAGCTGTGGATCATGGCTTTGTATTGACACTGAGCTGATGGCTATGTGTGTCAATCACTCTTCGATCAATTTATATAGCAGAGTCTGAAAAACTGGTATATTATTTTTAGTCCAAATAAATCATCCAGATTATCTACAAGCACAGTATATTTGTTTGTCAAGAGCTTTCTGCTCCACACAATTATTAGTGGGCCTTAATTTTGGGGGGGAGGGGGGTGGGGGGAAACAAATGTCATGTAATTGAGATATTTATGCAAACTCGACAGATGATTTTGTGTGCCAAAACATGTTGAGGGTTTCTCATTGCGATAAATGGTACCTTAACAAACCTTGCTTTCAACTGAGGGATTAAGGCATTCTTAGAGGCACCTAAATGGAAAGTCAGGGTATTTGTGATGGCCTGGGAAAACACTCAAACACTGAGTTTCTCAGGGGTTTCCAACTGAGATCCTCTGGCTAAAACCTAATAGTAATATAAACAGTAGTTCATTTATCTCATTTAGACCCAAAATTATTGGCCTGAATTTTCATCCTCAAAGTGGGTAGCAGGAGTTGGGGAAAATACCTGGCTTAGCATGTACGCTTTGGGAGAAAGTGCCTACAAAGATGTGATTTTAATTGATTTCCTCCATTCAGACAATGGTTCACAACACCTTTGAGGTGTCATGAGCTGCAATTTCTTTTAAGAAAACTGGCCTGAGTCAATGAAAATTGTAGAGTAGGACATGCCCATTCCACACTGGAACTTAACAGGTTGGGATTGTAACCCAAAACTCTCTAGACCCTTAATAGGCACAAAAACAGAAATTGCTGGAAAAGCTCAGCAGATTTGGCAGCATCTGTGAACAGAAATCAGAGTTAACATTTTGGGTCTGGTGACCCTTCCGCGGAACTGCTACCTTAAAAGGCACTCCTGAAAATTGGAAACACCAGGAATAGAGTCAGGAATCCTGGAATCGGGACCCACCTGTCCCTTTTTTTTTAAACAAAAGGTTATTCTGGCAAAAATCCAGGCCACTCTACTTTCACATTTAAATGAAATGGAAAAATGTATAACATGAGAAGCCTAGTGAATGATATTCTTGTGAAATATGTTGAGATTTTTCATTACATTAACCATGTTATACAAATTGGTTGCTGAATTTGCAATAAGCTACTTTATATAAACAAAATGTTAAATGCTACGCACCATGCTTTCCCATAACAAAGTCAGCTGAAACCATTGAGCCCAACAACAGGGAGAGTGAACATAGAGGGCTAAATTTTCATAAAAGATCATTATATTTTTGGTTTCCATGCAATTGCACGCTTGCCATCGCAGTGCGGTCATTTGACAAGCCTGGCCTTTGCATTGTTCCTGGCAGTTCCATTTTAACTGATGATGTTTTTTGCTGGAGGGTGGGTTTTATTTGGTGACCTGAAATCAGCCTGAAATCTCCATTAGGTCATCCCCTGTAGGCAGTGAGCTGGCAATCTCAAAAACCCTGCCATTCATTAGAAGCCTCAATGGCTGTTCTACCATTCTCTTCACAAAGCTAAGGAATAACCTTTGTGCAACCCTCCTTCTGTTATCTGTTTCATCGAGCAAGCAGCATTGTTTATGTGGTACATCGGGGGATCATCAGGTTCATGGCCTATGGCAACTGTGTGGATCAGTCACGCTGAGAAAATCCCTACCTGTTGTGTAAACTTTTTAAAATACACCAGTGGATTATTGTGTTTGCGCAAACAATGATAATGATTATGCTGTCAAAGAATTTGCACTAACAGATGCTGGACTATATCCAACCCACTTTGAGCACTGCGCGTGCTGAATCTACTTTCACATTCCAAAAGAAATTTTTGGAAGATCTAGTTCTGTGGGATGTGGTATGGATATAAAATTATAATGGCCCTGATTATTCAGTGGAGCTGCAATCATTGACCGATTTGTTGATATGCTGAAATTCTCCCCAATGCGATGCCATTTCTTGCTAGGTTTTACATGCCCACCTTTATGAGTGATACAGAGCACAGTATCCCTTGGGCAGATCAGTAATGGTGCTATAGTGTTGGTGAGGGTAGACAGGACACAGAATCAGTTTGAGGGATCATTTAAGGTGTTAGATAAGACATCTTCTGTCTAACATTTCCTGGGTGACTATTCAGGTAAGTGTCATAAAGCCTTCAACTCTAAGTCAGAGACTTTTACAGAGGCTCCTAGGAAGCAGGAGGAAATTGCCCATTGGAAATTGAAACTTCCTGCAGGTCCCATTACGGAATAAAAACAGATAATACTACGCAAATTGGTGACCACGTCTCTACTCTTTTAAAAAAAAACTTTTAATGCATTCTTAAGCCTACAATTGCCTTGTAAATTGGAAAAACAGCAGGCATATAAGTTCTCTTCAACCATCAAATTGCTTACCTGGGGACATTTGGCTGCACTGTAACAATCTCCTGCTGTCGCAAACGGCACTGACCTTCCATGAACTGTCTGAGCAAAATGCAAATCTGTAACTGGCAAAATTGACAGGTTAGAAACTTATTTCACAATACAGGCATTTTTTTAAAAATATATGTAACCATGAAGTTATGGATATGAAGATCTATTGTGCAGAATATAAGGAGTTCTTCAAGATAGTATCCTGGCCCAACCACCTTCGGCTGCTCCATCCATGACCTTCCCTCTATTATAATGTCATAAATAGGATGATGACTGCTTGACATTCAGCATCATTAACAACGGTCAGATACTGAAACAGTCTGTGTCCATATGCAGCAAAACCTGGACAATACCCAGGCATGGGATGACCAGTCACATTTATGCCCCACAAGGGTCAAGCAATGACCGTTGCGAACAAGTGAGAATCTAACCGTCACCATTCAATGGCATTACAATCAACATCCTGGGTGGTTACCATTGACCAGAAACTTAACTGGACCAGCCACAAAATACTGTGGCAAGAAAAGTAGGTCAGGGGCTCAGCATTCTATGTCTAACTTCCCAAAGCCTGTCCACCATCTGAGAGGCACAGGTCAGGAGTGTGTTGGAATACTCCCCACTTGCCTGGATGGGTGCAGCCCCAACAACACTCAAGAAGCTTGACACCATCCAGGACAAAGCAGCCCACTTGATTGGTATTACATCCACAAGCATCCACTCCCTCCACTACCGACGCTCAGTAGCAGCAGTGTGTACTATCTACAAGATGCACTGCAGAAATTCACCAAAGATCCTCAGACAGCACCTTCCGAACCCATGACCGCTTCCATCCAGAAAGATCACGGCATCAGACATGGGAACACCACCATCTCCAAGTTCCCCTCCAAGTCACTCACCATCCTGACTTGGGAATATATCGCCACTTCTTCACTGTTGCTAGGTCAAAATCCTGGAATTCCCTCCCTAATACAATTGTGGGTCAACCCACAGCAGGAGGACTGCAGAGGTTCAAGAAGGTAGCTCACCACCACCTTCCCAAGAGCATCTAGGGATGGGCAAGAAATGCTGGCGGGCCAGCGATGCTCACGTCCCATGAGTGAATATAAAAAAAATCTCCCCTCAGTGTATCTGAACAACCCCCATGCCTAGAAACAAGTGAATGTCCCTAATTGCACCTGAACCCTAGCCCACAACCCCCAAAATATGTTCAGCAACCATATCCATTGGGGAACCTTATCTTTATAAAAGGGCATCCTGGCTACCCAATCTAACGCACAGAATTTAGATCTTCTCTTAACAGATTTAATGTGCACACGTTGAAGTGCATGATATAGGGATGCAAAACTACCGCATCAGAGGAAGTAAGTAATGATTTAAATGACCATCTTCTTCTGTAAAATGCATGTGTACAAAGCCCAGCCTGAATTTACTCCCACCCTCATGGAAACAATAGATGCCATGTTTGGGTGGGATTTCCCATATCCACCTACTTTTGCCATCTGTGCCACAATCGTCAGGCTCTCTTTCATGGCAACAATTTGGACTTGGACTTCCATTAGATTGTTTCATGATTTTATTTGGCAAAGTACTGTCATTGGACCTACTGGAAAGATTTACAGGTTGATAATCAACCCATATGGTCATGTTAATACCTCACTTTCCATGGTCAAGTCCTGGCATGGGACTGGAACAAAGGGCTCTGGCTCAGAGGTCATGGTGTTATCACTACACTACAAGACCACCCACCCCAACATTGGTGCCCTTTGTTTTTGCTCAAGTATTTCTTTCCCTCCAAAATGTGAAATTTGTTTGACAATTACATTATCATGTAATTTGAGACAGCACATCATTCATCCATTGCACTTGTGCTGCCTCTCTCAGTAGGAGCTTTTCATTTTCCCAGCCTTATCGCTAATCTACTTCAAGTCTTTCAATTCCTTACCGACCTCCCCTTCCAAGGTTTTATGGATTTGCTTGTACAATTGCTCCTGGTGAAGTATTTCACATCCTTACACTCTCAGCGCATATAAACATCACAAACACTCCATTCTTTTGTTAATGATTAATATTAATCAATAAATCATCATTAACCATAAAACAAAAGAAAGGACTTGGAAGCACAGAGATGTACAGCATGGAAACAGACCCTTTGGGCCAACTCATCCGTGCTGACCAGAAATCCTAAATTAATCTAGTCCCATTTGCCAGCGTTTGGCTCATATACCCTTCTAGATGCCTCTTACATGCTGATATTATTGTACCAGCTTCCACCACTTCCTCTGGCAGCTCATTCCATTCACGCAACTCCCTCTGCATGAAAAAGTTACCCCTCAGATCCCTTTTAAATCTTTCTCCTCTCACCTTTAACCTATGCCCTCTAGTTTTGGATTCTGCTACCCTGGGGAGAAAAGACCTTGGCTATTCACTCTATCCTGGTGGAGGCATGGTGAGGGCTGGAAAGCCTGGAACGGGACTCTGGAAGAGGCTTAGTGAGGGCTTCAAAGCAGCCTCTTTCCATCTATGGCATGGAGCGGGCTGGAGGCTCGAGCGGATGGGGGACGGGTCAGCGGGTTGGAGGACCGAGCGGTGCGGGGACGTGTCAGCGGGCCGGAGGCTCGAGCGGGGACAGGTCAGCGGGCCGGAGGCTCGAGCAGAGCAGGGATGGGTCAGCAGGCCGGAGGCTCGAGCGGAGCAGGGACAGCTAA